TTTTATTTTTTTTACAAATCGTTACAACTTTTAGAAGATGCTTCTAAAAGAATAAGACCTTGTAAATGTGTCATCTGGCTAAATCTTTTGTTAAAACACACATAACACCAAAGTTTAGTAACCTCAATGACACCTTTGTTTTCTCTTGCTGATATTTATTTTCATGTGTGAATGCAGTTTATCACAGCAGTACTTTTCCACTTCAAGTTCTGCTGTTAGTTTTTGCATGCCGTGTAAGGTTGTATATCTCAGTTCAAGATCAGACTTTTATGATCACGCTATMTTTACTATTTTGAACTTTTAATTTAGAAGTGTCCTGATGGACAGTTAATGTGCACTTTCCATGTGCTATCTTGTGTGCACACCCAGGAGAGTGAGACTAGTTACATGTTATTTAAAGCTGTCAGGATGGTGAAACATGTCTAGGAAGCCTTGAGCATTTGGAATTACACCAACTCCTTACGCATTAATTAAACTTGCAGCACATTTTACTAACCTGCTTTTCCTCAAGGCACACACTCCATTTCAGGAAACACATATCCTATATACAATTATGAATAACTTAAACTGACAACCATCCATCTTGGCATTTAGTAACCTTGAATGTTTTTCCTTTTTTTTAATAGTACAGAAAAAATGGTTTTGTGGGCATGTTATGAATCTAATAACTTTCCTGTTGTAGYTGCTTTTTGAATTCCCTCTGTTTGGAGAAAGTTTACTTTGAACTTGACTAATAGTTAAGTGGCTAATGGRTAGTCTGATTCTGGCCAAGACCAAGCTGGATTGCAGCTGTCCTAAACCTCAAAACTTTTAAAACAGTTCACACAGATTTTGTTTTAGACACCTTTCCACTGCTGTCTGTTTTCCATTATATGATTATTTACGCATAATCGTGTGGTTATTTGCAGGTTTAAACAGTAGCGTCTAGCTGTAGCACTTCTGTTTCAGCCTGGGGCACTCCCAGTAAAGTGTAAAGTATTTTTTTTATGAACAGCTTTCATTTTTATTGAGAATGAAATAGTTTTAAAACAACAACAATCCTGTTTGGTATTCTTYAAGTAGCTGTTTATTTTTTTCCCAATTCAGCCTGAATTGAGTTTTCTTTCTTTCCTCAAACTGAGGTCATTCAAAGAGTTGTCTACAGCAAGTAAGATATTTGTTCATAACTGCTTGACTTTGTTCCATAAAATCCCACTTCAAACGATCTGAGCTTTTTATTTAATGCGTTTGGTCATTTGTTGCCTAATATTATGAAATTTGTGCAGGGCTRTTATTGATATAAAAGCAAAATTAGCAGGTAAATCTTTTTACTTTGGAACAAAGGCTTACAAAAATTGGGAGTTTTAGCCAAGTCTTACTAGGAGTTGTGGCACTTTCAATTAGCAATGGAATTAAAAGGAAAATAGACAAAACACACACACAGGTGTTTTTATACAAAAGAGCCAACTTCATTCACACTGTTACAAAGTCTCACCTTACAGGAGCAGTAAAAGGGAAAGAGCTTCATAATGAGAAAGCGTGTACGTACCTTTATGCTTTCCTGCTACTGCCTTTTCATGTGTCAGTAATTCTCCAGGGAGTGGTTGGCGATGGCGCTTTCCACCTGAGCGTGAGTGAAGGCTAACTAAATGAGGGAATGGGAGAGCTGCTGTACGGAGAAGGCAGTTAGCATTTTTTTCTGCCTCTGCCATGTTGTTAAGGCCTCGCAGAGCGCCACATCAGCACTTTCCTCACACCGCCGGGACCAGTTGTTGTTAGCGCGAAGGTGAAGCAAATGCATTATGAATAGCTAATAGTAAAACTGCCACAAAATCGGGCCATATGCTGCTTTTTTAGTTCGATCATTTGGTTTGGAATAGGGTGGGAGGGAGGGAGAGGAGGGGGTCGAAAGGCGGCTGTTGTGAACTGCATCATTTTATCGGTGCAGAGATATTTTGAAGATTGCCTGTATATCTCCAGCGAAGTTTGATTCAGAGGGGGCTGTAAAGTGTAAAGATGACGGGAGGGGGACTGGATGTTCATGTTGCTAAGAGTTCTTACACAGATGTCAAGGCCAATAAGGTAGTGATGTAAAGTCCTACAGTAATGGCTGTGAGAAGCTATTAGCCTATTTGTCTTTTATTATTGCTCTCATTTCTGCGTGATGCTCATGGCTGTGCAAGTTTATCATCTTAATGTTATTGTAAAATTAGCTTAATGGTTTCCTGTTTCCTCTTCCCCTTTCTTCTACTCTGAAATCTGGACTCTCTTTTGTTCTTTTGTCTGCATTGTTTCTTTATCATTCACCGTGTTTCTCCCCTTTTCTTCTCATCCCATTGCTGTTCCCCAGATGTTCTCGTAAGGACCYCTGTGAAAGAGCCGGAGAGCCTCAGAGGTTTGCATCCGACCAGAGACAGTGTGTGGAGCTGACTGTTCAGCCCAGAAATATATCTGTCACCATGTCTGAAGTCCAGGTAAGCATTCTTATACCTTTTTATTATTGTTGTACTTTCACTGTTTGAGCTTTTTAGATAAAAACAAAATGAAAAGGGGGGTTTTGGAAGAGATAAAACTTGAAATATTTTATAAAAATGCAAATACTGGCTTCTAGTGGAGCACACTTTGTCCTGGTTGTAGTTACAGCATGCTAACCATTATGCTACTGGTCTGCAGACATGTGACCAGAAGCTGCTGTTGCTTAAACTGATAGGAATAATATATATA